TGCATTTTAAGCATATAATTATTTAACACCAATCCTTTGACCGGTGTCAACTTCCCTCCACTCGTGTTCCCAGGTTCCCTCCCCATGCCAGCCCCTACTCCACCACCACCTGCCAACTTGATAGGCATATTACAAAGTTCCAGTGGTTGCTGCTTAAATCTCACGTTTTCAGTTCTGCTGAATCTGTGTTTTGGGCATATGGCTGTTGAATCTGTGTTTTGGGCATATGACTATACCCCTCACACATATTACTGGTATAACTGAAGCCCTGGTGCCTGTTCACTCATTACTTCTCATTCTATTCTTCCCCCTTGATTTATTTCTTTCTCTGTCTGTCTCCCCTCCAACACTGGGGTGGAGAGGATCTAAGCATGCCCCTTATACTGCAATACATTTCCTTCTCCAGTAGTCTGTATTCCACAGATAAGTGAGATCACCCTCTGTTTGTCTTTCTTCTGGCGTACGCCACTCAACAAGGTATCTTCCAATTCCAATCATGTTGCAGCAAATTGTATGATTTCATTGTGCCTTGCAGCTGCACAGTATCCCATTATGTACATACAGAATCCATTACATATGAACCACATCTTCCTAATCCATTCATCTGTCATTGGACACCTATGTTGATTCCATAGCTTAGCTATTGTACCAAGTACAGCAATGATATTGGTGTGCATATGTCCTTTCAAGCGAGTGTTTTTATGTCCTGGGAATAGATGCCCTAGTGTGGAATTCCTGGGTTATATGGCAGTTCAAATCTAAGTTTACTGAGAACTCGCCATACTATTTCCCACAGGGGTTGTACCAACAATATCCCCCGCCAGGAGTGGATAAGAGTTCCTTTTTCACCACATCCCTGCCAACACAGATTGTCCCTACAATTTATGATACATGCCATTCTCACTGGTGTGAGATGGTATCTCATTGTTGTCTTGATTTGGATTTCTCTGATGATAAGTCGTGGCGAACATTTTTTTGTGTGCCTACTTGCCATATACCTGTCTTCCTCTGATGTGTTGACTACAAATATTATTTTTCCTTTTAGTTAGCTCTATTTTAGATTTAGTCCATTGTAAAACCTTAGCACACTGAAGGTTGTCTGTTCACAGGATCTCTGGACAGCTCTGTCTCACCACCCACGTTCGGTGCTCTTAAGCCGCTCTTAAATGTGGCCTAGATCAGGATGGCTGTTCTCTCTCTCAACCTTGAGCCCCTCTCGCTCTGACTCTGGATCTCACTCACCTGGGCCTACAGTCTTAGTTTATACAGCAATCACAGAAGGCAGTGACACAAAGGTGGGTTGAACATTAACAAATCAACAAAGAGAGGTAAGACCACCCCTCCAGGAGATTAACTCAAGGTTAAAAATCTCATCTAAAGAGATTACTCCAGATTACTAGGAGATCTGCTCAAGGAGATCTGCTTTGGGATCCCAAAAAGTGTGTGTTCTTTCCTCAGCTAGTAATCTACTTAAATAGTTGTAGTAAATCTACTTCTAATATTTCTAGAAATGTCATTCTGTATGAGCACAGTAAGAGATATAAACTTACAGTTTGGCTCTTCCTGAGGACATCTCACTATATATTCCACAGTCCTTCAGGCCAGGTTAGTCTTCCTAGCCCCAGCAGGGCCCTAGTCTCGTCATTACTTTTGGATCATGACAGTGTTTGTCCATGATCATGCCCTCAACTTACAGCTGAGTATTATGGCACTTTGGCCTGGCCCATTTCAATGCCAGGGTAGCTCATAGCTTGCCCTGGATCCATTCAGTCCCTTGTCAGAACCCTGCTTTTGGGTTGCTAAGAACTAAGAGCAACTGAGTCAAGAAAGCAGGTGCCCAGGAGTAAATATTATTTGAAGTCAATCAACTCCCAAATTACAAGGCATAATATTAACTGTCTTCCTGTGTCCATACAGAAAGGACATTGCTTTAAGGTAAACTATTCAAAAGACATAAGGAGAAGAGAAAGGCAATAATAATTTATAATACAAGTTCAGTGCCCTGGGATGGGTGTGACCTGATAAATGTAAGCTACCTGAGGAAGTGTTATCCTACAGTCCATGGGTTGTTTTGTTTTGTTTTGCCATGCAGAAGTTCTTTAACATTATGTAGTCCCATTTGTTTATTTTTTATTTTGTTGCCTTTGCCAGTAGAATAAGATCACTGAAGGCATCTTTGAGTAGTAAAAAGGAGCATCTCCCTTTTGTTACAACTCATTTCCTCATCCAGTATTCTATATTCCACAAATAAGTGAGACCATCCTGTGTTTGTCTTTCTTCTTCTGGCTTACTTCACTCTACACAATAGCTACTCAAGAACACTCCAAGCCTTGAAGTAGTAAAAGGAAGATGTTTAGAGACATCTCATTATATATTCCACAGTCCTTCAGGCCAGGTTAGTCTTCCTAGCCCCAGCAGGGCCCTAGTCTCGTTGTTACTTTTGGATCATGACAGTGTTTGTCCATGATCATGCCCTCAACTTACAGCTGAGTATTGAGAGAACTCAAGAACACTCCAAATCTTGAAGTGTTCTGCCTATATTTTCCTCAACATATTTTATAGTTCCTGGTTGAATCTCAAGGTCTTTGATTGTTTGAATTGACTTTTGTATGATGTGTAAGATATAGATCCAGCTTTAGTTTCTTACACGTAGCTATCCAATTTTCTCAGTACCATTTGTTGAAGAGGCTATCTTTACTCCATTTCCTGTTCTCTGATTCTTTATTGAAAATTAACTCCCAATATATAAGGTGTTTTGTCATAGGGTATTCAATTTTGACACATTGAACAGAGGGCCTATCTTTGTTCCAGTACCATGCAGTTTTTATCACTCTAGCTTTATAATACAGTTTCAAATTAGATAATGAAATACCTCCCATTTTTTAAATTTATCAGTACGGTTCTGGCTATTTGCAGTTTTTTCTGATTCCATACAAACTTTATTATTTATTTTTCTACATCCCGGAAGAATGTCATCTAAAGTTGGATGGAGACTGGATAGAATCTATATCATAGCTGAGGTAGGTGGGATAGTCATTTTAGTAATACTGGTTCTTCCAATCCATAAGCATGGTATATATTTCCACTTCCTAAAGTTTTCCTCTATCTCTTACGTGATTTAAAATTATCATGATAAAAGCTTCTGTTAAGCTGACTTCTAGATCCTTGATGTTTTTGGATACTATTTCAAATGGGATAGACTCCTTAACTGCTTTCTCCTCTCCCTAATTTTTCGTGTACAATCATGCAACTGATTTTCGTGTATCGACTTTGTATCTGGCCTCTTTGCTGTATTCATTTATTGTTTCCAGGAGTTTTTTTTTTCAAAGCTTAAAGACCCTTTAGGGTCTTGTATGTATATTATCATGTTATCAGCAAATTGTTACAGCCTTAATTCTTTTCCAACTAGAATCCCTTTGATTTGTTTTACTTGCCTGAATGCTGTAGTCAGGACTTCTAATGCTATGTTGAATACAAGTGAAAGAGTGGACGTCCTTGCCTTGTACCTGATCTTGGAGTGAATTCTTTCAGTCTTTCACCATTAAATATGATACTGACTGTAGGCTTGTTATATATGACCATTATTACATTGAGGAAGGTTCCTTACACACCCTTTTTTTTTTTGAGTTTGCAGAGAATCCTGCTTTAGGATTTTATTTTAATTTTTTACTTTATTATTTTTTATTAATATTTTAAAATTTATATTAGTGAAACACCATGAGGTACTGTTGTGTACTTACAAGATTTTGTGCTTGGGTTTCAGTTATACAATGATCGAGTACCCATCCTTCCACCAGTGCCCATTCTCCACCACCACTGATCCCAGTATCCCTCCCACTCCCTATCCCCCTCATCCCACCCTGCCTCTGTGGCAGGGCATTCCCTTTTGTTCTCTCTCTCCTTTTGGGTCTGTGATTTGCAAAAGAGAACTGAGTGGCAATCATGTTCATACACCCACTTTTTGGTGAGGGTTATAGACCCTTGAATGGATGTTGGATCTAGTCAAAGGATTTCTCTGCATCACTTGAAAGATCATATGAATTTTATATTTGATTTTATTAATATGGTATATTATGTTAATTGATTTGCCTATCTTGAACCATCCTTGTGTCCCTGGGATAAATCCCACTTGATCAGGCTGTATGATTTTGTGATATGTTGTTGCATTCGGTTAGCTAAGATTTTGTTAAGGATTTTTGCACTGATATTTATCTGGGAGACTGGTCTGAAATTTTCTTTTCTGGAAGTCTTCAGTCTGCTTTGGGTATTAGCGTAATGTCAGCTTCACAAAAAGTGTTAGGAAGAATTTCTTTTTCTTTGCTATTTTGGAAGGACTTAAAGAGTACAGGCAGTAAATCTCTGAAGGTTTAATAGAACTCACCAGTAAACCCATCTGGACTGGGACTTTAGTTCTTGGGGAGATTCTTAATTACTGTTTCCATTTCCTTACTTGTAAGTGGCCTATTTAGGCTTTCTGCTTTCTCCTCATTCAGTTTTGGGAGAATACATAACTTTAAGAATCTATCCATTTATTCTGCGTTCTCCAGCTTAAGAGCATAAAGTTGCTCATAGTTACCTTGCATTATATTTTGCATCTCTAAAGGACCTGCTGTAATTTCTCCCATTCCATGCCTGATTCAACTTATTTGAACATTTTCTCATTTTCTCTTTTTTCTCCTCTCCTTCCTTCTCTCTTTGTCTCCCTACACACACACACACACACACACACACACACACACGACCAAATCTTGAGTCAAACTTAGGTCTTACTTTCTCTCCTCTCTCTCTCTCTCTCTCTCTCTCTCTCTCTCTCTCTCTCTCTCTCTCTCTCTCTGTCTCTCTCTCTCTCTCACCCCCCCTTCCCCCACAACCTCCATCCCCATCCCCACCAGCCTGAGGCCAACAGCAGAGTGGATGGAACTCACATTCTTAGTTAGCTAAGAGCTGCAACACCCAGGCCAGCCAAACACAAGATTCCTACTAAGAGTTTTTCTACTTACAGTTCCTCTCCGGGCTTGGCTTTCTTGTCTGCCACCAGATAGACAATTCCAAAACTGCCACTGCCAAGTTTCTGCTGAAGCACATATCGTCTTGCAATCAAGGCCTTTGAGTCAGTGGAAACAGCTGCGGATCCCCTCACACACTTAGCAGCCTCTTGAAATTTCAGCATTGCTCCGAACAAGAGGGAATGGGTATGACTGGGTATTGAAAGTTGGCCCCCAAGTCTGCTTACAACTTGTCTGAGTCATTCAGGTAACATCAGCCAAAGCCTTAAAGAGGAAAAGGTCATAGGTCAGGCCTGAAGGATACTGAGTTATATTCATAATAAAAAGGGTAAGTTGGGCCGAAAAGAAAGTATAGCTGGTAGGGTGCTTGCCTTGCACCTGGCAGACCTAGGTTCAGTCCCTGGTACCCCATATGGTACCCTGAGCCCACCAGGAGTAATCCCTCAGTGCAGAGCTAGAATCTGATAACTGCTGATATAAACCCTGATAACTGCTGGGTGGGTGTGGCCCCAAAACAAATGTAAAAACAGGATGAGATGGTTCTTTTTCTTTTTTGGTGGGGGCACACCAAGCCATGCTCAGAACTTACTCCTGGCTCTGTACTCCGTGGGGGTGAGGGAGGACCATGAAGTGCCAAGGATCAAAACCAGGTCTGCTGTAATATAAAGTAACAAAATAGGAGACTAAAACCCAAGAATAGCCAAGATAAGTACCAGGAGGTTCACTCCATGGCTTGGAGGCCAGCTGCACATGCTAGGGGAAAAGACAGCTCAGACAGAGAAGGGAGCACCAAGTATAGGGTGTTGGGAGGATCCTCCCAGGATGGGAGATGCATGCTGAAAGTAGACTATAGACTGAACATGATTGCCACTCAACGCCTCTTTTGCAAACCACAGCACCCAAAAGAAGAGAGAGAACAAAAGGGAATGCCCTGCCACAGAGGCGGGGTGGGATGGGGGCATGAGGGGTGGGAGGGATACTGGGATCATTGGTGGTGGAGAATGGACACTGGTGGAGGGATGGATACTTGATCATTGTATAACTGAAACCCAAGCACAAAAATTTGTAATCCAAGCACAAAAATTTGTAACTGTACCTCATGGTATTTCAATAATAAAAATTTAAAAATATAAAATAAAATAAACAGGTCAGCTGCTTGCAAGGTAATAGCTCTACCCACTGTACTCTCTTTCTGGTCCCAAAGAGTAAGTGTTTGGCAGTGACCCCTGCATCATAATAAAACTGCGTGGAACCAGTTAACCTTAAAAGACTTGAGAAAAGTTCCAAAAGGCAGATACTGCCTCTTCATACTTCCAAATCACCCAGCACTGACTTTCAGCCCAGTTTCTCCTGATTTTCTAGCCAGTATCTGTGTAATATATAGATTCTGCATACACTTTACTAAAATGCCTTCCTATAAGGTCATTCTAATTTCCTTACATCTAAACATTTGTATTAACTTTCTGTAATTCTTTTAAGGAATTCATAGTTGGTCTTTATGTTCCTGGGATAAGTTTTTTATTTACTTCCTTTTCCTTTTTTTTTTTTTGAGCTGAATGTTGAACCCCAGGCCTTATACATGCAAACTGTTATACTCAGTATTAGGGTTTCCCGTTCACAGAGAGATCAATTTTACACGTGAGACTGCAAAGGAACTTCATTGCTAGCTTGAGCTAGGGTCCAAGTCTCATCCAACGCAGTGGAATCTTCTCAAGGACCACGAGTCCTTATCACAGTTTTTATATTTTTAATCATGTAAGCATAGTTAGCAGGTGTCCTTTGCAGGTTTTTCCAATAACAGTCTACAGGACAGGATAACGGGACAAGTTGCTTACTGATTAATGTAAATGGCTAGGGTGGGGTGGGGTGGGGCAGGGCGACTTTTTAGTAACTCTAACCACAAACTTTTGGGGAAACCAGGAACACCAGTCTTTGGGAAACAGAAACTTAGGCCCTACTGCTTGCTTTGCTGAAGTGCAGCCTGTCATGGCCTCTTGTTCTGCCTCACTCCAGCCCTTCAATACCACTGTAGAGAATCCCCTTCCTGAGCTCTGTAACCCTACCCCTAACTTTTTGGTAATTTTCTCCTACACTGCGAGTATTTTGATTTGCTAAATGTGAGTTCTGATTAAAATCAGAAATATGCTGATTAAAAATTTTTTTTCTCTCCCTATGCTAAGCCTGTATTAGACTAGATATGTATTTGTATGTATTATGTATTTGCATGTATTAGACTAGATATGACATGACTCTGATCCATGATTTTTTCTTGAAAATTCTGGTCCAGGTTCTGAAGATCCTAACATTCATACTGTATTTTGAGGAACCTCCGTATATGGGAAAGGGTAAGTGCCACAAATGCAGTCCAAGCCTAAAAATATTTTTTTAATGTAAGCTGAATATAAATGTATCCTAAGTATAATCCTTATGAAATTTTTGATGTCCAGTGGAAATGTGAAAGGAAGAGGCTGTTTCATATGAGTCTGTGCATAGTCCTGTCCTGTTCTTCCGTTGTTCAACAATTTGCGCATAGTAAAAATTTTCTTTCATTAAAGTGTAAAATGTTCTACTAGTGATCATGAAAAGTGGGTTTTGGTTTAAAGCTATAAGAAAACAAGGTTTCATACCGAAGACTGTCCATATCTGGGAGTAAGCTTCCCATATTCAACTACTTCAGAGATATGACAAAGTCTAATATACATAATAATACAACAAGGCATGATCTGTGTCACACTGACCAACAGATTGCTGTGTATAGGACCTCGGTGACAGAAAAAAGTCCTTGGAATAGAATTAACAATGTCCATTTACAATATTTTCCTTTGTGAAGGACGTAACCAAAGGCCACATTTCACAAGTGGGGAGGAGGGACAAACATAAAGGTGAGAGAAGCGAGAAGGAGTAAGAGAAGGAATAATCAGAGAAACCTTAGGAGCAAAGATGCTGTGTTCCTGACATTAGCACTGGATTGGAACTTCTATATCTCTTATCTGAGCTAAAACATAATAATCATAATTATGTGAAGTCTCCAAGATCACAGAAAATATCTGTGAAGCCCATAGCTGAAAACACAAAAATAGAACTGGAGAACTGTTAATCGTTTTGTTTGTTTGTTTTCTCTGCTCACATTAAAAATAAATAAATAAATTTTGGCCTAGGCAATTGTTAAGAAAATTGTGTGAACTCCTACCTTTCTCCACTGGCAGGGCTCCTTCAAATTCCAATCACATAGGAAATTCTCCTTATATAGGAGTTGGGGTTTAGTCTCCCTTTTAGCGAGAGAACAGCTCCAGTGCTCTTTCCTGGGGCTTCTCTTCGCAAATGGATGTGTAAAGCTAGTGGTGTCTATGCAGACTGGGTCCCAATCCCAGTCCCCAACAAGCGAGTCGCCCCCAAAGGCTATCCGTTCCACTAGTGCACCCCTACCTCTAGATTCTAGAACTTACTGTTTGTTCACTAGTCACCTGCCCCTAAGCACACAGATTCGGAGTGATTTTGAGTACCTGGGGCACAGTTTTCTCTCTTGTCTTTTTGTGGTGCCTGGTTTATAGCAGATTCAACAAACTTGGTTAGGGTAAACTGCTGTCCGAAGGTTCAGGGGCTTCCCAGAGGCCGGTGGGGAAAGGACTGGAGGCGGGGAAAGATTTTAACAGCTGGATGGGAACAAGGAGAATGTCCAGAAAGGGCTGTTCAGGGCAATCTCACCCTTGGAGGTGAACTGATCTGGGTGTGGCCAAGACGGGAGGTCGTGTTTTATCACTGGCAGAAGATCTTCTGACAATGATAAACAAAAGAGGGGCTGGAGAGATAGATGGTACAGTAGGCAGGGCGCTTGCCTTGCAAGCAGTCGGGTTCCATCCCCTGCATCCCATGCGGTCCCCTGAGCACCGCCAGGAATAATTCCTGAGTGCAGAGCCAGCAGTGACTCATGAGCATCAAGGGGTGTGACCCAAAAAGCTAAAAAAAAAAAAAAAAAGAAGTAAAAAAAAGCAAAAGAAACTCATTCGACTCCAAGTTCCACGAAAAACCTTAAGGTAAAATGATTTCTTGGCTCGGGTTTTTTTTAAGATTGGGGTCTTCGCAAAGCGGGCGGCCCTATAACGTGGGAGAGAACTGGCAACACTTCGGAAGAGCAACGGGAGCAGGTGGGTGAACCGTGGAGGGGCCGGAGGGACGCGGGGAGGCATGCGGGACCAGAAAGGTGAAGCCGGGCCGGGGGGCTCGGCACGGCCCGCAGGGTTCCTTCCGCATTACCTTTGCGAGGAGAGGGCGGAGAAGCGGGGCCAGGCGCAGCCGCCTGCTAACCGGGTCTGGGTGGGGCAAGACTGCTCAACGCGGCCGAGGAAGCTACTCAGCTCTAGCGCCCGGGATTCCCGAGTTGTTTGGCGTCGTTGCCAGGGAGACGGCGCGGGGCATGCCGGGAAGTCGGGGCACGAGGCGGTTCGGAGCCCGCGGCCGACGCCGGCGGAAGTGGGCGCGGCCGTGGGGGGCGGGGACAAAGACAAGACCGCAGATCCGATTGGCCAAGTCTCGTAAACAGACAGTGGCCCGCGCCGAGCGGACTTCCGGCCCTGCCGCGGTAGCCCGGGGCTTCCCGGTGTCGGTCGCCTAATTCCCGGGCGTTCCGGATCCCGATTGCCGGTGACGTCAGGCCCGCGAGCGTCCGGCTCCCGCTCCCGGAGCTGTAAGCGCACGGGCTGGGCTCTCGGGACCTCGTGGGGCTCCCCAGGCGCGCGGCTGCTGCCAGGGCTGCGTTTCTCGGGTGGGGACCGGGCAGGTGGCTGTATGGACCCCTCGATGCTTGAGGATCGAGTTCAAACTCTGACTCGCCTTCCCTCCCACTGTCCGGCACGCATTTGTGGCACAGTTTCTGCAGTGGATTGTGGTATCAATAGCTCAAGTTGACAACAGCGTCTGCCTGTCAAGTCTTGACCGAACGCATTTGTAACGAAATTATTACCGTCCTATGCAGGATACTGACAATAGAGATGGGGTGAAAGGATTCGGGCGTAAAATGCAAAAATATATATATATAATAAAATAAGAAAGAAAAAAATAAGGGGGACGGGGACGTCTCCAAACTCATCTGCCAAAAATAAACTTGATGCCATGCACTTCAAAATTAAAAGTTAATGCTATAATAAGCCTGCATTTGAGAATAGGGCACTGAAGGGTTCAGTGGAGGTGCTGCTTGGCCACTTGAGGCACTGTATCACAGTATCACTACTCCCCTTGTTCAGCGATTTGCTAGAGCGGGCCCAGTAAGGTCTCAATTTTGAGACTTGTCGTTACTGTGCTTGGCATATTGAATATGTCTCGGGTAGCTTGCCGGGCTCTCTGAGAGGGGTGGAGGAATCAAACCCGGCTGCGCGCATGGCAAACGCCCTACCACTGTGCTCTCTCTCCAGCCCACTTGAGGCACAATCTTAATCTTGTGGGACTGGAAAGACAGTGCAGGAGTTAATGCACATGCCTTGCAGACAGCCTATGTGGATTCTATCCTTGGCAGCGCATGTGACCCCCTGAGCATAGTCAGGAGTGATCCCTGAGCATGGTGTCAGCCTATGTGGATTCTATCCTTGGCAGCGCATGTGGCCCCCTGAGCATAGTCAGGAGTGATCCCTGAGCATGGTGTCAGGCTGTTCTGAAAACAGCCACATGTTGCCCCCAAACAAAAAAAAAGAATCATGGGTAACCTCATGGCTAGGCACACAGGAGCCTGGGAGGAAAGGAGAAACTAGTCGAACCTACTCATGTGACTAAAGCTTGGCAAACAATGGGTTTTGTTAATACCATTGAACCTGGGCAAGAAGGTTCTAAGACAAAATGAAAAAACCCTGGCTATAGTGAAATGAAAGAGCTGGTTCCTAGAGACAGGAAGCAGTAATTTCTTACCCAAAGTTATGCCAGTTAAGATGGTCCCATAAATCTAAAGGCCTGAAAGAAGTTACCAGCTCCTATTGACAAGGAAAATTGAATCTACATCATTCATTTATCTGCCTGAGGTACCCAAAGACCTACACATTCTGATTGTGAAATTGAGGAGGTTATTTTTAGAACCTTATACTCACACCCCACAGAATGTTCCGTGCTAGAAAGTGATAATTCCTGTTTCAGTATCAGCGTTTACATAAGGTAAACTTCTGCAAACTGGTGGAGTTCATGCCCAATTCAATCAGCCTAATCAATGGCTGAATAAATAGCAATACTACTACATTAAGATTTTTTAAAAAAAGTATGTAAACTGCCAGAGAGATAGTACAGCAGGCAGAGCATTGACCTTGCTATAAAATAATTCCTGTTTCAGCATTATAATTCACATAAGTGGCCAGAGAGAGATAGTACAGCAGGCAGGTCTCTGGCCTTGTCTGTTTTTATAACAAATCCTGATTTGAGGAGCATGGCCAGGTAGGGGCCCCACAGCAAAACAGATTCAGTCTTTATAAGTTCTGTGTTATGTCCATATCATCTTTACATGGTTTCACTTTAGAAGCCTCTGCATCTTCACCCCTGGCCAAAGATCAAAGTCGATGAGGCTAGTCTGTTTTTATAACATCCATATAAAGCCAAGGAACAAGCAACTGTGCTGCTGGTTGGTGCTTCCTAAGGGTCTAAGGGAGAATTGAGGTATGCCGAAGGCTTTATCCAAAGAGCATTCTTAGCCTTTGCTGTTGATTGGATGGTACTGTAAGTAGTGAATTGTAATTCTCTAACCAGAACAATTTAAAGTATGTTTCTTCATCTTAAACAGGCGGTTATTCCAGCGTCACCATGGGGGTTCGTGGACTAATGAGCTTTGTGGAGGATCACAGTCGTGAACTCTTTGCTGATGTGAAATTGCGGAATACGAAAATTGTCATCGACGGCTACTCTCTCTTCTACCGGCTGTGCTTTAATTCCAACTTGGAGCTCCGATATGGAGGGGAATATGATTCTTTCGCAGATGTTGTGCAAGATTTCTTTGAATCACTGTCTGCTTGTCATATCTATCCATATGTTGTGTTAGATGGGGGGTGTGATCTCTCCGATAAAAAGCTTCTGACGTTAATGGATCGGATCAGAGACAAGGTCCAGGTCGCACATTCACTCTCTGTGGGTGGGGGCGGGTGTGTGTGTCCCCTGCTCACCCGGGAAGTATTCATGCAGGTTTTGATCAAACTCGGGGTCCCTTTCGTGCAGTGCTTCTCGGAAGCAGATCGGGATATTATGACACTTGCCAATCATTGGAATTGTCCAGTGTTATCATCGGATAGTGACTTTTGCATTTCTGATCTGAAAACTGGGTTTTTCCCACTGAGTAGCTTTCAGTGGACAAACATGAACACCATCAAGGGCACACAGGACTACTATATCCCAGCCCGATGGTTCTCTGTGAACACGTTCTGTAGCCGCTTCGGGGTGAATAAAGGTCTCCTCCCTCTCTTTGCTGTGCTGAGCGGAAATGACCATGTCAACCTTCCAGTCCTGGACACATGCTTTAGTAAGTTGCGCTTTCCTCCTGCCTCTCCCAATGGGAAGAAGCACCAGCGCATCGTGGAGCTTCTGAAATGGTTGTCGCAATTCACTAACCCTAGCGCAGCACTGGAGACCGTCCTGAAAAGTCTCCCCAGGAAGGACCGGGAGCCGGTGAGGGATCAGCTCTGCTGTTCCATGGACGAGTATCAGCCCTCGCCAGTGCAACTGCAGGACTTCTTCCAGCATGGCACCTACGCCTGTCCCGATGCCCAGAACCTGGGGCTGCCCGACTGGGTCCAGCGGGCGCTGGCCAGAGGCCAGCTGTCACCTTTCGTCAGTGATGCGCTGGTGCTGAGACGGACCTTCCTTCAAGCGCAAGTGGAGAACACACAGCGCCCAAATGCCCACAAGATCTCCCAGCCCATCCGACAAACCATCTATGGACTGCTCTCCAGCGCACCGCGGGGCAGCTTGTCTCCACAGCCCATGGTGTGCAGCGAGGTGGGACGGATCAGCAGGAACATCAAAACGTCCCTTGTGGAGGCAGCGGTGCTGCCCGTAGAGTATTGTGACTTAAGCAGGCTGGCAGAGGTAAGTGTGTGCAACCCTGGCCAAGCTTTGGGTCAGCACTTGACAGATTACAAAGACTTTTAATTTCATTTGGGTTGGGGGTGGGGGACGGATCATAACCTGGTGGTGCACAGGGGGCCATTCCTGGCTCTTTGGCTTAGGAGTCACCCCTAGTGCTGGGCATTGGTACCAAGGTGGTACTGTGGCAGCCCACCAAAGGCAAGTGTGGCCCTTCCTGCGCTTTCTCCAGCCTCTGTCTGTAGATGCACTTTTACAAGTGATTGTTTCCAGGCTACCAAGTAACACTTAACTGTTTCTGGGGGCCAGCGTTTGAGCTGAACTAGTACTGATCATCTGTCAAGGGACTTTCTACAACTTCACCTTCACTAGTAAAACTGAGGTGAGGCGCATTCTAAAGAACGATGTTTTAGAGCAGGAGTAGGGAGGAATGCATTGCATGCACTGGGCTTGCATGCAATGGCCTGGGTTCGATCTCTGGCACCTGAGCCCACCAGGAGTGATCCCTGAGCATAGAGCAAGGAGTAATGTTTTGGGGCAGAATGACAGCCTTGCATGAAGGAGACCTGTGTTTGATCCCTAAGATTGCATGGTCTCTCCCCCTTTCCCCCCAAAAAAGCAACCTCTGAGCATTACTGGGTATAGCCCAAAAGCCCCCAACAAAATTTTTTTTAAATGGTTGTCCGGCTGAAATTGTTTTTCTACTCACAACATAAATAGTGCTGTTGGAAGACTGGATTTCTTTATTGTTTTTTTGGGGGGCCACACCTAACAACGCTCAAGGGTTACCCCTGACTCTGCGCAGGAATCACTTACCTGCTGTACTGTCTCTCCAGCCCCAGGATTGAATTTCTTACAAATTTCCTTTATGACTTTTCTGGAAAAATAACTGTTGTACAACAAAGTGCACATTTGTTTTCAGAAAGGAGTTTTTTAAAAGGTGAATTTTGATGTGTCCATCCATGAATGTATCTCCTGAAAGTTCCTTGTCGCTTCTACATTCCATCTCCCCCTGCATTTGTATACACAGTGCAGCCAGGTGAATTCTCCTGACCCATCCATGTGAAGACCAAGGGAAACCTATTCTCAGCACAGAAACTCCGCTGTCGGTTCCAGCCCCCACCTCATCCCAGGACAACAAACCTGACCTCTAAGAGCATTCAATAGTTTTAAGCTGATTGGGGGCTTTAAAAATGGATTTATGTGGGATGAATTCTCCTTTTACTTGGTGTCATTTGAGATTCACTCATGTTGCTGTGGGGAGGTAGACATTTCTCACCAGGGTATAGTACCGCATTGTGGGGCTATGCCATGGAGAATTTTTTTTCCCATTTTACAGCTGATGGACAGTCTCAACTACAATTTGAAGTTTGGACTCTCAGGAACAGTGTCACAAACATTCTCATGCACATTATTTAGTCAAAATATGGACACATAAGGAGGGGAAATTGCTGGGTCATAAGATGTATATTTTGCTTGGATGATAAATTGCCAAATGGTCTTGTAAAATGATCGATTATACCAGTTAAGATTCCCACCAGCTCCTATAATTTTACACCTTTGCTCAAACTGTTTTCTCTCTTCAAAAGATTTTTACTCTGATGGTTGTACATCATTTCAGCCAGACTTGTGGGTGATGATTCTCATTTCGTTAACCAATTATTTGAGCACCTTTTCAAGTGTTCTTTGGCCATTTATGGAAGGTTTTGTTCAAAGCCCACTTCTCTTATGTTTTCCTATAACAAATATTCTGAATAAACAACCTCCCCCATTCTGTGGATTTTCTTTCCACTATATTTGGATGAATAGCAGTAGGTTTTGATGAATAGAAGTTTTTCATGTCATCTAAACTTTTGTTGGTGGTTATCACTTTTGTGACCTACTTGAGAAAATGCTGCCAAGGTCATGAAAATCTGATTTTGTTTTTTACCTTTTACTTTGAGATCTAAAACATACTGGGGTGTGTGTGTGTGTGTGTGTGTGTGTATGTGTGTGTGTAGAGTTCAGGACATTTTTACCCCAGAATGAAAACCTGAGTCGCTGAGGGCCCCCTGTTGATTTTACACCAGCCTATCACTACTCTAGTCAAAGTAGGGTGACATTATTAGTCCACTCTGGGCTGGGATAGTATTTGATCTTCCTTTGGCCTAATCAATTCTGTGTTTAGTGCAAAGTTGTCAACCTCTAAGTAGCCTGTGATCGTTCTAAACAGATCAGATGCAATGAGATTCCAAAGACAAATGCTGGTGGGGAAAGGTAGTGATATCGGCTCACTTGTCTTTCTCTCCTGAGATGGTAACCCGATAGGTGTCAGCTTTACACCTGTTACTGTAGCAGGACTTGTGCTGCTCCATCTCTCAGCAATGTCCCCAAAGACTAGGAGCAGACTTTCCCTTTCCACTGTGTCTGCAGCAGTGGATACAGCACCCCTCAAGTGCACCCGCAAGATGTTAACTGTAAGGAGACAGAGAAGTGAATTGTTCTGCAGGGCCCAAACTAGCCTCTCTCCTTACACCCCTACATCCAAGGAAGCTTCTCCTACAAGCTCCTGCTTTCCAACCCCTCCCACTGGGAATGAAGCCTGATTGAACTGAAGGCCTGCAAGTGGAGCGATAGCCTTTGGAAGAGGAAGGCTGAGAGATAATAGAGCAGGTAGGCTCTTGCCTCAAATATGGCTGACCTGGTTTCAACCCCTGGCACCACAGATGGTACCCCCCCACCCCCACCTCTGATCCCCACGAGGTGGCGGGGTGGGGGGGTTGGATCTTTTGAGAGCAGAGCCAGGAGTAGAGAAGTAAGCCCCTAGCACAATGGGGTATGGCCTGAAACCAAAAACAAGTCAGGAAGAACATAGCTTTCTAAGGTACTTGCAGTTCTGCTGAAAAGTTTCTGCTTTAAAAGTCTTGGGACAGGGCCAGAGAGAAGTAATATAGTGGGTAAGGCGCTGCCTTACACACAGCCATCCTTTACCGAAAAAGCTATCTCTTTTTCCAAAAAAGCGATACCCAGTGGTACCCAGGGCTTACTCCTGGCCCTGTGCTCAGGTTACTCTGGGCAGTGCTCAGGGGACCATATCGGGTACCAGGGATCCAATCCCAGCCTAGTGTGAGCAAGGCAAGAGCCAACCCACTGTACTAGAACATCTAAGTCCCAGCCCCAGCTCTGCTTTCTTCCTAAAATTCATAACTTGACTCAGAATCTAGGCATCATCTTAGTTTTACATGGTGCTTTTTTTTTAACCAGTTTAGTTCATAAATATAGTTGTTTTTTCATATTTAAGTAGTTAGTACCATTTTCCACAGGAGTGACTGAGTATAATTTAGGTACTTCAAATGTTTCTAACTTAAGAACTAAATTACAGCATTAAATGAGTAAAACCATTATTTACCATGCTGTACTTAATGCTCTCATGCATGGATGATGCAGCTTCTTTGTCAAATATGCCATTTTGTTTCAGGTGAATATCTCTTTTCCCAGCTGTCAACATAGGCATGGAGTCCTGACTAACTATTAAATGCTAAGAAATATGCCACCAACATTATCTTCCAGAAATTTAGATCGTTTTCTGAATATGTGCAGATACTAGACAATAACTAATTTTTTTCTCTTTTAAAATTTGACTAGAAAGTCCCTCTGCGGGCTCTTTTAATAGTCCTCACTTCTTTATCTGGAAAAAAAAAAGACTCTTGTAAGGCTCCTTAAGGGTTACAAGTCCCATGATTATTTTCGTTTGGGGGGGTCATACCTCACTGTGCCCCCAAATTACTCCTAGCTCTGTGCTCAGGGAGTAACTCCCAGCAGTGATCAGGGGACTAATATTTGGCACCAGGGACCAAATCATCCAGGCTTGGCAGTGTGCTGAGCAAGTGCCTGAGCCCTGTACTATCTCTTCTTGACATTTGTGGCTCACGACATCTCGAGTAAACATGATCATTCTCGTGAGCCCGTGCTGGCAACCCCTCAGTATTCCACCTCCCATGTTGATGCCTCTCCCCTGCAGCCATCACTGGGTACCATCTTGGGTGGGAGAACACAAAGACCATCTAACGTTCACCTGGGAAGGGACACAAGCCAGTTGATGCAGCTAAGCTCACCCGGGTGCTCCCAAGCGTGTCCTCCGAGGGGACGGCAAGCTGGGAGAAGGAGAGGCCCGAATCATCACTGGCAGGCCCACGCTGGGTAGAGGCTTGCTTTCCTTCCAGCAGAAATTGTTAAAATGCAGATTCTCATCCTTGCCTTGGAGTTACTGAATCCCAGTGTAGGGCATGAAACCAGGTGACCTGCAAGCTGACGATGGAGGTAAGGGGATGAGCGGGGGCTGGGTAGGCACTGCCTACCCGGCCTACCCACCCAGCCAACCCACCTGGCCAGCCCACCCCAAGGAAGCACAATATTCGTGTTGTAAAGAACAGGAGTGGGTAAGACTGCACTGAAAGGCTAGACACGGCGCAGCAGCCTGCCTTGGCATTGCCGCCTTTCCCTGGCCTTGGACTCCCAAAGGACCTTTTCTTTTCAAAAGGAGAAACGTCTGGTCTGTCTTTTCAGCTCCCTTTGGAACGACGGCGGGTGCTCTTGTTAGAAACTCTGAAGGTGAAACAGTCCGTCCTGGAGCCGGTCCCTGCTCTGCTCCAGTTGCCCGTAGCTGTCACCTGCTACTGGCTGCAGCACCCAGAGGTCAAGGCTCAGCTCCACCATCTCCACGCCCTGCTGCTGGCGCTACTGCTGGGGCCCCTGCAGGCTGCGCTCGACAGCCCCGGTAGGTGTCAAGGTCCCAGGGCATATGCCCTTTCTTGCGTGGGCCTCCCGCACGTATCACTGGGCACTGAAACCAGTATCCCTGGCTCTGTACCCATCAAAGCAGTGGCAGCAGGATGTCAGTCATTGATGTTTCCTAGCACTCGTGTGCCAGGCTCGGTACAGGGCGGGGACTTGACTCCAAGGGTCTGGCAGAAAAAAAGGTGCCGCGTACCCTGAATCCCACCTGCTCGGGGGCACCAAAGGCTTTTAATGTTGTTGGAGGTGAGACAAACTGAGTTCACTGGAACTTTATTGGAAATCGCACTTTGGCATCACCTAGTGCACACCCAGGGACCTTTGGTGCTGCTGACCTTTAGTTCTCCCCACTGTTTACATTCGTTAGTGCATTAGTAGTGAAGGTAGAAATCAGAACTCCATTCAAGCAGAGGTTCCCAAATGTATTGGCCTTCTGTCCCCTACCCCATTCCCACCCCTTTTTAGAAAAAAAAAAATCATTGTCTTCCAGGAAATCTATCTAAGAGAATAAACAGACACTCCTCAGCTAGGGGAGGGGGTTAGAATCACCCACTTTTTTTTTCTTTTTGGGTCACACCCGGCGATGCACAGGGGTTACTCCTGGCTCTGCACTGGTGGTGCTCAGGGGACCATATGGGATGCTGGGCATCAAACCTGGATCGGCCGTGTGCAATGGAAACGCCCTACCCTGTAATTACGAATGTGGAGTGATAGCTCAGTGGTAGGGCGTTCGCCTTACATGCGGCCAACATGGCCGACCCGAGTTCGATTCCTCCGCCCCTCTCGGAGAGCCCGGCAAGCTACCGAGAGTATTCAATATGCCAGACACAGTAACAACAAAGTCTCCAATGGAGACGTTACTGGGCCCGCTCGAGCAAATCGACGATCAACGGGAGGGCCTTTACTTTTAATTCTGGGGTGTGCTATTGCTCCAGCCTCAGAATTACCCACTATGGGAAAAACTGGATGGAAAAAGAAATAGGCTTTGAGGCCATTTGATCTGCAATTAAATATCAGCTAAAAATAAAGGTTGACTATTGGAGAACTAAGCCTCTAATGGAACGATTCTCTGTACAAATTTATAAATGTTGGTTTGTAGAGATAAACATATGAGCATGTGGGAGTGGGAGGCTCAGACGTGAGCTCCAGCTTGGCATGTTTCTCCCAGAGAAGGACCCCCAAGCACTGAGCCAGGAGTAGGCTTTAAGCAGTGCCATGAATAAACCCCAAAGAAAATGAGATTTTAAATGTTTATAATACCATCAAAACTCTGTCAGAGTTCTAATCCTTCCTGTCTAAACTAGTCATCACATTCGCTCTGTACCACAGTAACCCGACAGCTCCTGGTGATGTGTCTCTGTTTAAAGTTAAGATGGAGGGTCCAGAGCAGTAATATAGTGGGTAAGGCACTTGCTGCATACACGGCTGACCTGCATTCAAACTCCGGCACCCTGTGTCCTCCCAACTACCACCAGGAGTGATTCCTGGATGCAGAGCCAGGAGTAAGCCCTGAGCACCAAAGGGGCTGGCCCCCCAAATAAAAGTTTAACCAGTTTCCCGCTTCCACTCGCACACACCATTGCAGGACAGTCCTCGTGGCCAGGGCTTCTGCACTGGACAGCGCAAATGCAGAAGTTTCCTCCTGTGGCAAGCTCTGCCAGCAGGCGCTGCTCGAGAGTGTACCTTGTAAAATAAGGTAGATGGAAGGATGAGAGGCACCAACTCCGAGACACCTCCGGGCCAGCTGTCAGAGGGACCATGGGGATGGGGCAGCCTATCTGGTGGCAAGCAAGCTAGTACAGGCCCACTGGGGGTTGAAGACCTGAATGGCCTTCGGGCATTTCCTCTGAGTACTAAATGCAGGGTAAGCGGGTTCTGAAGAGCTCGAGCTTGTTAAGTCTTTGTCCGAGTGCCGGAGGAGGGTGGAAGGGCCCCTGCCTGTTTCTTTAGGAGTTGTGGCCACTGCACTCAGGCAGATTCAGGGCCTTGCTGCCCACCCAGGCCCTCTTGGTGCAGATGTCCTGCCAGCCTGCAGCAGTGGACAGCTGGCCCCCTGGCATTCTTTACCTTCTACTTGTACCTCCCACCTTAATCTCTCCTCTGGGAAGCTGGGGACCAGTCTGTCTCTCTGAGTCACTTTTGCATTTCCCTCCCATAAAATAGAACGTATGTTCTTTATAGTACAAGGGCACCAGAACACCTTTCTCCTGAAAGCAAGTTTAGTGAGGGTGAAAAAGTCTTTTTAAGGACCAGGCTGTTGCTCCACTGCCAAGTACATTTCTTTCCTTTGTGTGAGGTCCTGGGCTCAATTCCTGGCACCAAAACCCAAATAAATGAAACCAGAAAGTAATTTTGGGTTGAATAAAGTTAGGTTCTCACAAAAAAGACTTCTCAGTATCAAGAAGTCAGCATTTACAGCAAAGTTTTAATAGTGACGTTCACCCAGTAAAATAAAGCCAGAAAACAAAACCATTTGGGTGGTGTAAAAATGTATGAAACGTGTAGGACTTGGAAGTTTCACATACATGGAGTGCAATATTACACAGGGGGCTGGAGCAATAGCACAGCCTATAAGGCACTTGCCTTGCACATGGCTAACCTGGGTTTGATCCCCAGCACCCTAAGCCCTGCTAGGGGTGATCCCTGAGCAGAGCCAGGAATCAGCCCTGAGCACTGCTGGGTCTGACTGTCCAAGCAAATAGTCTACAATACTTGTTGGCTCCCGCCTCTCAGGTGGTCCTGTTTTTTAGGTTCATCAGTGCTGCCGGAGGATGGTGCTAAGAAGCTGTACTCAGAGTTTCGGAGCGTGAAGGCACGGGCCTGGCCGGGGGAGAAGTTGGACTTAGATGTGGCTCACACCTTCTGTCAATGGCAGTGCTGTCTGCAGATGGGGCTGTACCTCAATCAGCTGCTCTCCACCCCGCTCCCAGAGCCAGACCTAACCCGGTAAGTGTCACAGGGAACTACTGTAGAGGGCTACACACAGAAGGGTCTTATGGCAAAGAGGAAGATGCTTTTAAAAAGTAATCATTAAGATTAGGTCTTAGCTGAGTTCCAGCAGAGGAGCTGGAACTAGGAGGGAACTCAGTTCTCTGCACATTCCAAAAGCAACTGTCCATGATTAGGTTAAACTTTAAAAAAAAAATCAATTTCTTGGGTCCAGAGAGATAAGACTAGCAGGCAGGGTGCTTGCCCTACATGCAGCTGACCTGGGTTTGATTCGCAGCATCCCACATGGTCCCCCCAGCACTGCCAGAAGTAATTCTTGAGTGCACAGCCAGGAGTAATCCCTGAGCATTGCCAGGTATGACTCAAAAAGAAAAAAAAAAATGGGGATGGAGCAATACTACAGTTGATACGGTGCCAGACTTTCATACAGCCAACGTGGATTTGTTTCCTGGCATCCTGGCATCCCCCAAGCCCACTGAGAGTGATACCTGAGCCTAGAAGTAAACTGAGCACCACCAGCTGTGGCCCTCCCATAAAAAGCAAAAAATTTAAAAAAAAATCCCAAACAACAAAAAAACAGGAAAAACAAGACCAAAGTTTTTCCTAACGATTTCAGCATGTCAGCATTACCAAGACTTCTCTAAAAAATTGGTTGTACCCTGATGGTTTCACAAGAATCGCTAGAGCACCAGTTTAGGGATGTTAAATTTGTGGTTTTCAGTTCATCCCATCTTACATTCGTGGAGTAGGTTTTAACCCACCTGAAAGAGGGCCAGAGCAGTAGTACAGGGAGCAGGGCATTTGCCTCACACGCAACTGACCTGGGTTCAATCCCAGTCACCCTAAATGGTGCCCCTGGGAGTAAACCCTGAGCACCACCGGATGTGGCCCAAAACCTCCCCCACGCCCCCCCAAAACAAACAAATAAACAGGTAAAGAGCCTTGCAAACAGTGCCATTATAGTGTCTCATGTTTAAGCAGACTGTGTTGTAATTTTTCTTTTGGGGTCACACCTGGCGATGCACAGGGGTTACTCCTGGTGGTGCTGAAGAGACCATATGGGATGCTGGAAATCGAACCCCGGCCAGCTGCATGCAAGGCAAATGCCCTACTCGCTGTGCTATTGTTCCAGCCCCTGTGTTGTCATTTTTGAGTCAGCCGACATGTCAAAGGGCTGGCTCAACTTTGGGCAAATTGCAGAACCATTATGCAGCCGTCATTTCATGTGTTGGTAAAAAAACAAAATTTAAATACCACCAGCCAAGAATATATCCTTCTAACAAATCACTGCCTTCATGGAACAGACTGTTCTCAAGTAACTGTACAGAGATGAGAAGTGTGTCCCGGTGTTTATGGAATTGTGTTTGGTAGCTGCCCCAGTTCTAGCAGCTAATAACCACCCTTTTCTCTCCTATGACACAGATTGTACAGTGGAAATCTGGTGCATAATCTCTGCCAACAACTGCTTCTGTCAGTCTCACCAGAGGGTCTCCTGAGAACGTGTCCTGAGGCAAAGGGACTTTATGAACATCTTTTCAGTGCCACTAGATCATATGCCCCTGCTGAACTATTCCTACCAAAGAGTAAACAAACCTCAAAAAAGAAAAAACCCAAGAAAAAAGGTATCAGGAGGTCCAAGAACAGAGCTGGAGCTGTCTCAGATCTCCAGAGTGCCTATAAGGGGAGCAACCGTTTTCAGGTATTAACGTCTGAAAGCTTAGAGGACTACATGGAGGCCATAGAGCTCGAATAAACTCAAGTCTGCACCCAGACGTGTGATTCGCACTGCTTTTCTGCTGCCACCCTTGAAATGGTTGTCTTTCTTTTGAGCTAACCTGGAGGCTTTCCTCTGCCATAGGAAAGTCTCCATATTCCCAAATATTTTGTATTCTTCTTGTAATAAACACAACCTGATTTAAGAAACTTCTTAAATTGGCAAGCGTGTTTGTTATTTCTCAAGTTCTATTTCACTAATAGTTTGTTTCCTTTCATATGTAATTATAGTATTCTCTTAGGCAGCAACTTGGCTGTTAGCAGAGTACAAATTCTACTTCAACTATTTTCTATAAACACAAGCTAGGTTATTGTTTTAAGAAAATCTTTACAAGTCTTCCTCAGCCTCATTACGAAAGGTCTAAGCCTAGGAAGATGGGGGTCAGGATGCCAAAGAGAAAACTATACACCAAATAAGACTGAAGAGCACTAAAGATACTTTCCAGGTTGTTTTGTTTTTGTTTTTCTTAGGCCACACCTAGCAGTGTTCAGGGGTTACTCCTGGTGGTGCTCAGGGGACCATATGGGATGCTGGGCATCAAACCTGGGTCGGCCATATGCAAAGCAAGAACCCTACCTGCTGTACCTGTACCATCTCTCCAGTCCCAATTTTGTTTCTGTTTTTGGGCCTCACTGTTCCAGGTTTTAAAGTAGAAGCTGAAATTTTAATGGCCACAATAAAATAAGAAACAGCATCCTAAGCAGCTAGACCTAGCGGAAGGAACAATGAGAAGAAATTAAAACACTAGATATAGGAGCAACAATACTAGCATATAGGCCATTCTTCATATTGTTTTAACCCACTAATGCAATGAGAAATTAGCCATAACCCAGCATTTTAAAAATGGAAAATCACATGCATAATAGATGTTATTAGGTGGTTGTGCAAAATGTATTTCTTGCTGTGGATTGCAGTCCAAAGATTTTGAAAGCTGTTGGTTCAGAACACATTATTACGAACACCAATAAATTGTGAAAGTCCTGGTCAGTTCCAAATAAAGGATTTGTAAATGAAAAAGCAAGTGGAATGAATACATTTGGTCAAGATCTGAAAGTATATTCTAACCTTCATCTCATACTCATTAATTGTTCTTCAGTCTCTGCTTTCTCACCGGTGTACCATGAATGCGGTTGTCAGCTGTCATTTGTAGCAGGCCTGTGTTCAGTTTCTAACATGAACAATTCTCTTCACTCTCCTGGCAACTGTTACACACTTATCTCCCCAGGTGGTCTGACTTCAGCCCATTAAAAAAGGGCAGAAACACAATCCCATTTGTCGTTACTGTGTTCAACCCCCCTCTTCCTGACCTCTGGTTCAAATAAAATTTCCTGGAATTCATTTAGGGGTGCACAGGGCTCTCTAGTAAAGTACCAGCACTTTTTCATATTTAACGAAGCATTTGAAAAAGAGCAAATGGTCAAAGCATTATTTTTTCTGACCACAAGATGGCACTAATGGATCACTCCTCCAAGGAACAGGCACTTGGAGTACTAGAAAAATGTTTTAAACAGAGTTGGTTTGTATTTTTAAAACCTGTATTTAAAAGCACATTTTTGTCAAACACAATGTAGAAAAATCCAGAACCAAATAGTAGGCCTCTAGATTCATGTAGAACTACCTACCACTACCTGTGGTACTGCTGCTCATAGTTCCTACATGTGGTTTCTACTCATTGTTCTAAGAACAATGCTGAAGAAGCAGTGGTGATGGGACATTCCCTTAGAATGAAAGACAGCTGGCCCACAACTGAGAATGAGTCCTGGGGCCATTTCATGTATGTGGGTCTTTGCCAGGACAGTTGTCCATTTGTCTGCATTCAAGCACAAAGTGACAGGAATGCCAACCATTTTAGAAAGACTTGTAGGTTCAGCACTGCTGACATGGAATAGCTGGAACAAAGTTCGTGTGTACACAAGAACTTAGGCACACTTAGATTCGAGAAGGATTTATAAGGATCAAAACAAATGACTCAGGACTGGAGTGATGTTTAAGAGGGCAAAGCGCTAGCATGTGGCCAAACCTGGTTCAATCTGATGTTATGGTCCCCTGAGCACCATCAGGGCTCACTCCTGAGCAGAGCCAGGGATAGTCACATACGGTCCAACCCCCCCAAATATCTAATGACTTACGACCTTTTTTTTTTCACATCCTCCCCAAACTTGAACACTTCATTATTACCTCTTTTGGCAATGTGGCACTGCTCCGGGAACCCAAGCACTCTTAGAAACACTCAGCCAACAGACCAAATGGTTCACGGAACCCAAGAAGCACTCCTAGAAAAACTCAGCCAACAGACCAAATGGTTCAATTTGATGTGGTTTCCTGGACCCAGTGGTGCTGTGAGTGAGTGCAGGCTCTCCAGGGCTACACGTGGCAGTGTTGGAGTTGGGGAAAGACATGTGATGCCAGGAATCAACCTTGGATCCTTGCTCATGCATTTACTTATTTGGAAAGAAAAGAGATCATATAAAATCCACATTTACGAATGAAGTGGCTTAGATTTAAATTTTTAATGTATCCTAAAATATAAAATCCCACATTTTATGTTCAAACTTATGCCTTCTTTTACTCTTTACCAGTCAGTATTCACAGGCAACTACTACTACTACAGACATGCACTACACCTCTAGGGCCATCTGGCTTGGCTCATTATCTAGACTTTGGAAAATGGGTAAAACAACCGTTTCTCAAAATTGAAGAAAAAGAATTTCAAGCTGAAGGAATACTGTCCCAAAGAAGTGAACTTTTAGAGTACTATTTGGGATGGATCTGTGGCTAAAAAGACCTTTTTAGAAATAGTATAAACAAAATTAGCATTGTTTTCCACTTTCTTACCATAAAGTACTTGTTTGGAGCAACTGGCTATTTCCTTATGTTAATGTTGGGCTTCCGCAGCAAACTTCACAGTGAGTTATGCAATTTGCTGTAGTACAAATTCTCTCACCTCTTAAAACAGTGTCTTACTAGGAATACCATGAAGATTTGCTGCCAATCATTGTTTCTTAGTAACTTTAGGAATAGACTGCTTTGAAAGCTCTAACAGAGGAGGAGACTCGAATGAAAGGTAATTAATTACCTTTCTTTCCTCCCTTTTGAATCTACTTAAGTGCTTATTCTTTTATTTGGGATATGGCGGAGGGAGTACAGTTAGGACAGAGAAAGGACCACTATGATAAGTAAGAGTTGAGAATGATCACTCGGTATAGGCAACAGGTACTGAAAGAAGGTAAAGTGATATACATGATACCCCCTCAGTAATAGTATTGAAACCACAGTGCCTAAAAGGAAAAAGGAAGAAAAAAAAAAAGGAAAAAAGTGTCTGCCAGAGTAATGCAGGGGTGTGGGCGGGAGAGAAACTGAAGACATTGGTAACGGGAAATGTACACTGGTGAAGGGATGGGTGATGGAACATTATGTGACTGAAACTGAAAAATGAACAATTTCTGTGTATCTCGTGGTGATTCGATTAAAAATAATGAAAAAAAGAAACCCTGCTTTCCCCAAAATCTTCTATCAAAGCTGAATTCACATTCACTTCTTTTTAGCACACACAAAAAGCAATGCTTGTGAAATTTAAACTGTGCTCTAAGACTCATTTGACATGTTCTCAAACTTCACATTTCAAATTGACATGTGGCAGCTCCATATTGGTAAAAAACTCCCCAACAGTTCTGACATCCACAGCAAATGCATCTTCCATGTCTATCTCTTTCTCCTTTCCTGCTTTCATTTCTGAAAATAACATTCTGTTCATATCTTCCTCTCCCATCCCCTTCTCAAGTAACCCTAACTATCAACCCTACCCTCCCCACGTTGTTGTGAATCACAAACGTTCATTTATCATGACTGAATACTACTCCTCTGTATAAATGTACCATATTCCTTTCTCCATTCACTACTGGACAGGCACTTCCATTGCTTCTGTAGTTTATCTGCTGTGCTTAATGCTGCCATTAAGTACCAAGGTGGATGTAACTTTTTATGTTACCATCATATTCCTCAGATACCCCCAAATGGGACTGTTGGATCATATGACAGCTCTGTCTTTAGCTTCTTAAGCATCGGTCTTTTACAAAATGTGCACCAATTTACATCCCCACAAACAGTGCATGAAAAGTCCTCCAACTCCCTTCCCGACACTAGTCATTGCGGCTTATGATATAAACCATTCTCACAAGTGGGAGGTGGTATCTCATTGTGTTCTTAATTTATTATTTTCCTGATGGTCGATGATGAGCATTTTATCACATGCCCATCTGTTATCAGGATGGTTTCAAGTTTTAGAATTCTGCCCATTTGAAATTGAGCTGTTTTAAGCTTTTGGCTTTTTTACATATACCTTAGATATTAAGCCTTTATAAAAAATATGGTATCTAAAAATCCCCCATTCTAGTGCCCAGGAAGTGGGGGTGGGAGGAGAGGGAAGAAAAGGGAGGGAAAGAAATAAAGTGCCTGCCATAGAGCCATTGAGGCAGGCTCAGGGAGGGAGGCAGGAGCGAATCTGAGATCATTGGTGGTGGGAAATGGGACTCTGGTGGAGGCATGGGTGTTGGATTATTGAATGACTGAAACCTGATCAAGAACAGCTTTGTAACCGTGTACCTCATGGTCACACAGTTAAAAGAATGCATTGTTAACATTGCTAACACCATGGAATGTTTCACCTCCGTTATCTTCTATATATACTATATAGTTTTGGGTTTTACATGTAGGCCTTTTAATCCACTTAAATAAAATTCTGCTTCCTCCACTGTATGGTAAATTATATACTGATAAGTGCGTGTATTTCTGGGTTTTTTACTCTATTTCATTGAGTCATGTATTCAATTCCAATAACAGTTTTCATTACTGTTGCTTTGTAGTGTTTGCAGTATGTTTCCCATTTTTTCTTCCTCAGATCTGCAGTTGAGATAGTTTTGCGATTCCATGTCTAACTGCATTTCCCCCCATTTTCTTAAAACATCACTTAAATTTTTAAGGGCTGCACTAAATCTGTATATTACAGGCTGAGATATAGCTTAGTGGTAAGAGTACAGGTCTTACAAATATGAGGTTCCATGACCATACATGACTTCTATATGCTATACTTGGTGGACAGTACATTTTGACTTTATCTGTTTTCCCCTGGATTATCTTCCCTTCTCTTTGTTCTTTTATGTCTTTTAACTGTCTTACAGTTTTTGTTATAAGAAGATCTTTAACCTCTTTTGTTAGATTTATTTCTGGATAATGGACTCTTCGATGCAACCGTAAATTGCTTTCTTAATTTCTTCTCACTCATGTCATTACTAGCATAAAGTAATTCAACTTGTAGTGAGACACAGATTTTACTTTTTAATTCGAGGTTAGGGGATGTTTGGGCTACACCTGTGTTCAGGGCTTACTTCTGGTTTTGTGCTCAGGGATCACTTCTGGCAGGGTTTGGGAGATCATACGGGCTGCTGGGGACAGGACAGCCGCATGAAAGAAAGAAAGCACCCTACCTGCTGTACTATCACAACTGTATCTACAAAAACAATGACTTCATCTCCGTTCTTGATTTCTTTTTAAATTTCTTGATGTCTAATCACTCTGGTTAAGGGCTTTAATTAAGGGCGCAATTAGCAGAAGAAAGAATAGTGAAAGCCTTGTTTTCTTCCAAGTTTTAAGGCTTTCAGTTTTTTTCCCACTGAGTTGGATAAGCTGTGGATTTATAGTATGTGTCCAGTTTCATGTAAGGTGCAAAATTCCTTAACTACTATTGCATTATTGTCAGCATCACTTTTTTTTTTGTAATATATTTTGGTTTCCCTTCAGTTGGCTCATATATCTATATATATATATATGAATGACGATAAAATCTTGTATTAAGCCGATTACTATATCTATTCTCGTATTACCATATTATTACCTAAGTAGTGCTGTGCCTGACTTTTAAAAAACAGCCAAGCGTTTATAGTAGTTTTCCAAGATTTAGTTTTAAGCCCATGCCTATCTTAAAATCTAAGATGTAGTTTCTGTAGGCAGCAAGGGCTGGGTTTGGGGGCTGGTGAGGTAATACAGCAAGTAGGGCATTTGCCTTGAATACAGCTGACCAAAAAAATAGAACAGATGTAAAAACAAACCCCCAAAAGGTTGAGTTTTATTTTCTGAAATCTGCTAATCTATACCTTTTAATGGTGTATTCAGCACACAAACATCAACATTTAAGATGATCATAGATACCTGAAATCAGATTTGTAATCTTTCTGATATAATCCAAGGATATTTACCCAGAATACTGTGGCATCTGTTCCCTTCTGTATCAACATTTTTCGCCTATCTAGATGAGATTTGGCACCAACGCATGGAAGAAGCTACAGCAGGGCAGTTACTGTTGGAAGGTACCTGAATTCAAGCCTTCCCAGGGGCTGCTGGCATCCACGCTGGGGACAGAGATTTGCTCATCCCTCTCCTTGAGGCTGGTCCTGCAGCCTTAGCACTCCCGAGAACTTCAGATTACAGCTATCCGTTTGCTGGGCTCATCTTTGATGTGGGGCTTCTGTCTGTCCATGCCTCCTGAAGGGCCTAGAGTGGAGAGTGACCCAGTGCCTGAAGGTCTGGGCTCTGGTCAGGCTGCAATGTAACAGCAGTCACAGGAAGATACAAGTGAGGATCTACAGATGCCGTTACTCCGGTCACGTGCTCTAAACCAGTGCTTTTCAACCTTTTCACATCTGTGGACTGACACCAGCCCACGGGAGGCGTAAGCCACAGCACACTGGGCTCTAGTCCCAGGTGGGGTCGAACCAGTGCTCACATATCCGAGGCCAAGAGGCCACAGCGGTGCCCTTGCAGTTCTGAACACACCAGGGGCCCTGCGCCTCCCTCCACCCTTCCTGGTTTGAAGTGCAGCTACAACTGGTGGCTACAGAGCAAGTTTTCAGCCCTCATACTGGACTGCCACCTTAAGGGTGCCAAGGAACTGTCTGATCGTCTTGGGCACCCCCTGCACAAGGATGCAGGTGTCTCCTCCTTTGCTCCTGGCTGTCTGCTCCCTGAGCTTCAGGCTGTGGAACTCTGCTCCCCAAAGGCCCACTGCTGTTTGTACCTGCAATGCTCAGACTCACTGCCACCCACCCCTTTCCCAGCCTCCATGTACCAGAGGACCCCATGGTGACCCTAGTGAGGTGTTCCTACCCATTCCCAAGTCTCCTACAGCCTCACCCTAAGCCACCGCTTATCCATCTGTCCAACCCTTCACAGCCCACAGTTCACTGTGGACACCTTAGTTGGAAATGTGAGGCAGCCAAGGACCTGGAATCTCCACTCATCGGCCTTCTTGCCAGCTCTCAATGCCATGTCTTAAACAGAAACTTGTGTTTTTCTCTTTATACTGAGTGCCCAGCTCATTTTGTCCTTTACCCCTTACATTTCTAGAATTTTCTCACCAGTGTCCCTATCTTATCTCTACAACTTACCCTCTGTGCTTCCATCGGTTTATAATGAGACCAAAATTTGACCACACCCTAAAAATATTCCAGCATATCATGCAACAAGAGAAGCCAAACTCTTTACTGTCACTACATGACCCCGCCAGACATGTCCAGTTGTACACATTACATACTGCCTCCTCCTCAAACAGTTCCGAGCTCGTGGAGGTCTTAGCTGCTCCCCCGGCCCTCATGAATACCTCTGCAGAGGCCTTTTGGTTGCAACATCCTGTCGCTTCTTGGCTTGCAGATTCCCAACTTAAGGCTGTTTCTGAGGCCACTAATCTAGGAAATTTCTTTCCCATGAAGTTATTTCTCTCCTCTGGCTACTGCAGCACTTTGGAAAACATCTGCCACAGTATCGGATGCAATTCTCATTGGTTTCAAGTTAAGAAAACTTCCTGAAGGCAAAACATACCCCTTTATCTCTTTATAAACCTCAATTATGACATTTGCATTTTACTATATCTACATTAATGGAACAAGAACTAGTTAACCCATTAACCATTAGTAGCTAACAAGAACTAGTTAATCATTATTCATTAATAAAAACCTACTCTGCAAACCAAAATCCAAATTAGGTTGTCAAACAGTTACACTGAGTGCTGAGCTCAAGGAAGAATAAATACCAGGAAGATCTTTGTGACATACCGGTTAGAATTAACTTATCCACAGTAAAGTTCAGTGTGCAAGCCAACTTTTTTTTTTCTTTTTTGGGGGGGCCACACCGAGAGATTCTCAGGGATTACTCCTAGCTCTGCACTCAGGAATCATTCCCGGCAGTACTCACGGGAGCATATGGGATGCTGAGAATTGAACCTGGGTGAGCTGTGTGGAAGGCAAATGCCCACTCCACCCACTGTCCTATAGCTCCAGCCGGCTAGCAGCAGTTTCAAATTCAGTTTAGTGTAAAAGGCAGGTTAGGGGTTGAAGAGATAGCACAGCAGGAAAGGCGCCTGACCTGCACACGGCCAACCCGGATTTGAACCCTGACATTACATATGGTTCCCCAAGCATTTCCAGGAATACTTCTTAAGTACAGAGTCAGAAGTAACCCCTGGGCATCACTGCTTGTGGCCCCCAAACAAGTTAAATACATAACTAAATATAAGGCAGTTCATAGATCTTCAATGTCAAGAAAACCTTCCAATCAAATATGTGCTCGATTCAAATTCCTGTATGTGTGCTTCTAAGATGCAAGATCATGAAGTAGCCCATTAAGCTTGTTCTTTATCACCATCATATTCTTAGCATACTCCTGATTCCAAGCAAGTAAAGGCTTACTAAAAGATTACCAAGTCACCCATCTAAACTTTTGGGTGAGCATTATTATGCCAAAGGCAGGACACAAAGTAGGCTTCATTTCAGTGAAATTAAGTACATTCCTTACTCAGTTATGTCCTGCATGAAAAGAGATCTAAAACTTGAAGTGATTTCAGAATGACACCCACTGAAAAAGAATGTACCTTTCCTGGGCATGAAAAGTAAAAAATGTGTTTTATCCTTGTAAAGTGTGGTTATTGCTATATATAAAGTGTGATCCTAAATGGGGAGGACCTGGAGATTTCCCGATTTCACCCTCTAGTATATGGGTCACACGATTCTCATTACAAATGAGGGAAAACGTGCTAGTAAGCTTTGTTTCTTTACAGTTTTAATTATTTGAGCCCGGCAAGCTACCGAGAGTATTCGATATGCCAGACACAGTAACAACAAAGTCTCCAATGGAGACGTTAATGGGCCCGCTCGAGCAAATCGACGATCAACGGGAGGGCCTTTACCTATTATTTGAGCAATGTCTATCAAACTGGTTTATGGTCCGTCCTTCCTTGATGCTTAATCGCTTTGGGGACACAGAACTTCATTAGAAACCTAACTTGGGAGACTAAAAATTTCAACTTTCCCATACTATAAAAACATGTATAGAAACATTCTACTTAGATGACGTACTATTACAAATGAAAACTGAGCTGGAGAGGCAGCACAATAGACTTGTCTTGCACACGGCTGGCCTGGGTTGGATCTCTAGCACCACGTATGTCCCCTCCAGCTCTGCCAGGAATGATTCCTCAGCACAGAGCCAAAGGTAAGCCCTGGGCACCACCAGGTGTGGCCCAACAACAAAAGAAAAAAGAAAAATGAAAACCTGGACACAGTATTCCTATACTGTATATTTAACTAATTTTCAAATCACAGATTCTGGGGATAGGAGTGCTGCCTATGCTCCATATAACAACACCTAGGTAGATCATTTTACTGCTAACAGTCCCAACTAGATTAACTTATAAAAAAGAAATCCTTTTTTTGGTTTAAAACAATGAAAGGATAGGCACCTTTATTTCATACAAGTCACATTCTTGGAACTAAAATGCAAAGCAAGAGATTGACATGCACGTAATTATTTTAATTATCCGTAACAAAAAAAAAATCATTACAAAATTTAAGTAGGAGACATCAAGTCACTAAAATGACTTTATGTCATGTTTATTTAAGGAGAAGGAATGATGTATCTTTGACTAGTCAGTCATTAAGGATAAAGGAGAATAAAACTGCAGGCATCTCAGTTCCTTATACTTGACTGTTTCAGTAACAAGAACTCAAAGAACATTTTCCTTGTCATTTAATAACAATATCAGTGCAGATACTGGCAGTTTAATATTGTTTATAAAAACTAGAGAGTGGTTTGTCCTGACGATTAAAAAAAATGGACATTATAAAATACAAAACAGTCACTAACTTCAAGAAGATTTAAACCTGTAAGAATTTGAGAACTGTTTGCTTCAGAGAGAAATATTCAAAAGGAGAGTGAACGTCTAATTTTGTATCTCTGGTCAAAATTTGCCACAAATTACATTTACCTCCGTCAGCTATTTAAAAAAAGATGGAATTACAAAGAACATAGTCATTAGTTTCTCTAGCATGCCAATGAAATAAAAAGAAAGCAGAGGACAAATGATAAAGATTTAGAAGGAAGAGGCGCTGATATAAAGCAAAGAAGCTAAAGATACAACATGAGCAAAGCCAACAAAATCTTCCACATACCCTAGTTCACAAGACATCTGCTTGGGTTTATTTTTTTTTAATCTTTTAAGTATAGTACTCTACTTCCTCTAAAAAAGAACCTTAAAAAGACAAACATTAAAAAAACATCTTATGTAATATGATTCAGTTATTCAGATGAGGTACTTGGATTTATATTTAGGGAATGACAAAGTGGTATTTGACAATGTATTTATAATTAACTCAATAAGGAGATATGTTTAAATGATGTTATAATTTTTAGCTAATCAAGTGTTTTTGACACTGACTGGAAGTTAACTACAGACATTGCTACCTAACAAAAATACCACTTGATAACCCAGTTTTAATTCTGAAAGACCAAAGACTCAAACCCTTGAAAAGAAAAAAAAAAAGCAACCATTTTATACTTACTAAGAAAAACAAATATTTACTTCAATCAAATTGCAGAATAGGCTTTTCAATCACAAAAAGAAAGAAAAGAACAGTGATCTGACGTGGTCACATCCTGTGCAAAAAAAATATCTTGAGATACAAAAGTGGTAACATGAGGTTTCTGAGCTGCTCACGTTGTAGGAAAAAGGAAATACAGTAGCTGAAATATGGCACTCCAACGAATCAACTTCTAAACCATGTAGAATGCCTCTGAAATGATTAAATTTATTTGTGTTATTAGTAAGAAAGCCCCGCCACCATAAATAGTACAATATTTAAAAATAAAAAAAATATTTATATCTATCTAAGATAGTATATTTTGTACTGTTAGACATCTTTAAGTGCAGAAGGTGGTTCAGATTTTGCATCTTTTTTTCCTTTTCATTGTAAATGAAATAAGTGCCCATATGCATTAAAAAGTTCCACTTATTTGCAAAAGCCAATTTAAATCAAAGAGTATGTTATCAAAGTTGCATAATTTCATTTGGGACTGCCAGCAGGTTAAAGTCTTGAATTAAGTCTTTAACATTAATGCTCAGTTTTATCAATGAAAAAGTTAAAAAGTTCTCAAATCTTCATTATCTTCTTGTATTTTCCCTTCTAAATGATCTTCAGACTGCAATTCCTAGTTTGCAAATAAAAGAATGCAATATGCATCATACTTCAAGAAAAGACGACGACGAAGGTGAACTAACGTGCTTCTGGATCTTTTCCCTGCTCCTTTCAACCTTCTTTATTATTTCTGACACTACGCACACCGATGAAGTGAGACCCAAAAGAAAGAGCAGATCTGCAAGAGAAAATAAGTTGGAGTTTACAATTCTTTCCAAGATGCAGTTGTAAAGCATAATGGCTTGCATTTCTCCCAAATCTTACTAGAGCTTGTTTCACGAGTATTCTAAAAAGGCAGACACAAACTGACTTGGTTCGAAAATAAGGAAGGGCTGAAGAGAATGGACAGGGGTGAAGGGGTTGCCTTGCAGCCACCATGCCACCCTAGTACGACTCCTGGCACAGCATAAAGCTGGGAATAGCTCTTTACCACTGCTAGGTAGAGCGCAAAACCCATGCCTCACCTCCAAAAACAAAAGGAAAGGCAGTGACTATACTACTTTCTTTGAATCATAACCTCATCAACATGATTCTTAACTGCTAAGAAAAGTTTTCTATTTAAAAGCTCACAGTCTTTCACAAAGGCTGCTGTTCAAAAAGTGCTAATTTGATTGAAAATGTCTATTTACAAATCTGTATATGTTTTATTCAAAAGCTTACAAAAACTCATCGTTTAAAGCTCATATCTTTACAGAAGTATCCATAGTACCTCATACGTTGTGACTGCTCACAACATTTTTTCGTGACTCTTTTTTTTAAAAGAGGAATGTATGTAAATATATTAGATGAATGTAAGCAAATATATTAGAATACTGAAACTGAACTGGAGAGAGAGATAATACATTAGGCAGGGTGCTTGCCTTTCAAGTGGCACCATATATGGTCCCCAGGCACTGCCAGGAGGATGCCCAACTACAGAGCCAGGAGTAAGCTCTTAGCACCATGAGATGTAGACAAGAAAATTAAAAAATAAAAAATTTAACTAAAAATTTTTTAAAAAGCAAAACACTAAAACTAAGCTAGTTCAACTTTAAGGTGAAATTAGGGGCCTGAGAAACCATCCCCGTGGTGCTACAGAAGCCCCGTGGTGCCAAGAATAAAGCCTATTTGCAGAGCAGGGCTTCAGTCCTTTCAGTTACCTCCCTGGTTCCATTTACAGTAAACATTTACCAGAAAAAAAAACCTGCAATGTTGTTTAACTCATTTTTAGAATTATTCTAATTTAAAAAAACCAAGAAGAAAAGTAGTATAATAAAATGCATCACTTCTCATAGTCATAGTGGAAGAGTAACTTTAAAATGTAGTATACCATCATTTGATACATCATATATAAAGTCTGTGTGATATATATTCTTAATATTTTCATTTTTGTGTAAGATTTTTACTTTATGAAATCAGAATGTGCTTTGGCAGGTAAGAAAAGTGAACTCTCCGTTCACTGAAATTATATGCTTGAAGAGCAATTCGACTTTCACAGAACTTAAAACGGAAATGCTATAAAATACAACTGCTCTACAAGTCTAATTCACTATGCCTCAGAATCACCAAGTATGATTTTGACAACTGATAACCTATAAAAATAATCTAAACTTTCCAAATGAAACAGAGCATTACTGTTATATCACTTTCATTATATCGTTTTTTATTTACATTATTTATTATTGTATCACTTTTAAAAGTAAAATTTTAATAACACAAATGTGCTAGAAAAAGCTTACAACTGTTCATCTAAAATACATAAATTATAAAAATAACTTTTTTTTTACCCAATATACTCAGGCTCTCGGTCTGAAAAACTTTCTGAAGTGGAGGAAAATAAATAACTAGTAACTGTCCCATGATGGATCCAAGAACTGCGTAGCAAAACATTTTATTACTGCAGAGCCCGATCTCAAACACAGATTTGGTCTGTTGGCAGAAAAGAGAGTTCAATTACTACCTCTTTCTCATAAAAACAACTTTAATCTCAAGCAGCCTTTTTTTTTTTTTTTGGCTTTTTGGGTCATACCCAGTGATGCTCAGAGGTTACTCCTGACTCTGCACTCAGGAATTACTCCTGGCGGTGCTGGGGAGACCACATGGGATGCCGCGGATCAAACCCAGATCTGCTGCGTGCAAGGCTAATGCCCTACCCACTGTACTATTGCTCTGGGCCCGTAGCTCTTTTTATTAAGCAGCTTTTCTTTATCTCAATTAAGGACCTGCTTAATAAAAGGGTGCCCTATATAGGGGGTGGCAGGGGAGACCTAGAAAGAAACTTAAATGTCAATGTCAGTATTTCAAAACATACTTTCTTCTGAAACAAGAATCTTTATAGAAAGCATGAGGTTTTTCCTAGACTTAAATATTTGATATCAACCTAAACCTATAACTTAGCTATAAGGAAGTGAAAGGAAAGAGGAGACAATGACATGGGTGATTACTTTCATCTGCTGATTGACGGTAAGGTTTCTCTCCCCAAATACCCACACCTGCCACGATGACATATTTAAAGAGGAAAGCTAATCCGGAGCTGTCAACTATGACCCCCAAATCAAGCCATGCTAAAATCCATAATCCTGTCTACTACTTACTATTACTAATCAGTCAGCTAAGACCACCTAAAGCATACCTGGGATCTGGAGCTTAGCGCATTGAACATGTCAAAAAACACAAAGCACGTGAAAGTCATCGTTGTGTCTCGAGGTGTTATCACATTGTCTCTTAGCTGTCAAGAGGAAAAATGGGAAATGATTTTCCAGTGACTGAACTTTCTGAGCAAATACTGCATGATTAAAGATCAGTCTTCAGTCTTTTATTTTAACTAGGATGAGTCTTTCATTTTAACTAGGATCAGACAATTTTAGTCTAAGATTAAATACATAAGCTACCTACAATTTCCTATACGTTCCCTATAAATATGAATTTTAAATAAAGGTAAAAAAAGGCCCTCCCGTTGATCGTCGATTTGCTCGAGCGGGCCCAGTAACGTCTCCGTTGGAGACTTTGTTGTTACTGTGTCTGGCATATCGAATACTCTCGGTAGCTTGCCGGGCTCTCCAAGAGGGGTGGAGGAATTGAACTCGGGTCGGCCATGTTGGCCGCTTGTAAGGCGAACGCCCTACCCGCTGTGCTATAAACAGCTGTATTTTTCATAAAGTAAAAAAATTTTTTCACAAGCCTATATTGGATATTGAAACAACTTTTCGTTTATGATAATAATAAAAGTAGCTAAAAACAGATTTTTTTTTTTTTGCTTTTTGGGTCACACCCGGCAATGCACAGGGATTACTCCTGGCTCTGCACTCAGGAATTACCCCTGGCAGTGCTCAGGGGACCATATGGGATGCTGGGAATTGAACCCGGGTCGGCCGCGTGCAAGGCAAACGCCCTACCCGCTGTGCTATTGCTCCAGCCCCTAAAAACAGATTTTTAAGCACCTCATATTTTCATTATTAATTCTTATCATCTCTGATAATTCTCTGCAGACAAAACTCATTTTAATAAATCAGGAATTCAATTAAAGATTGAAATCAAATCTTAGATTTTTTTTTTTTTTTTAGTTTTTGAAGCCCTCTTCCCACTCACCAGTTCTCCACATAACAACCAAAGAACTAAGAGCCCTATCACATGGCAGACATGCCTTCAAAGCGGCTCATCCAAGAACATACCTCCCGCCAGAAGACAAATAATGTTCCACAGACAATGATTATTGATGAAATAAGTATTTTAAGTATTAGATTTTTGGTCAAAATGCTGTCCTTCCAATTGCGTGGAGGTTTACGAATGACATCTTTATCCACTGGCTCTACTCCTAGGCTAAAACAAACAGAAAAGTGAATTAAAGTTTTAAGATTCAGATTTTTACTTTCAAGGCTTAAATAACCAGGAAACTAGTAAACTGCATTCTCATGGAAATAAAACACTGAATCACAAAGAAAATCTTTGGGTTATTAAAAAAAAAAAACCACTGGTTTTCATTCTCTTTCACTATTTTTGGTAGTTTGACATGAGACTAATGGTACATAGTCTTTAAGCTTCCAATTCCATTCCATATATATACAAGTTTATTTTGCAGTGCCATGATCAAACTCAGAGTCTCACATGTGTGAATCATACTCTCTACTTCTGAGTCACATCCCTGACCTCAAGTTTACTTATTTTAAATATGGCTTGAAATACATTGGCCGATCAACTCAACTTTGAAGTATGTTTTAAAGGAGAGTACTTCAACTAAGATGATTTGTTGCAATGGACAATGACAACATATCACTCAATAGCTCATTATGAAATACTTAGATGACTGTTTTTTTCTTATGCTTTTTCATTTAAGCTTCTAAAACTGACAATTGGACCTAGGTAACAATAATAAACTTGGAGATTTCTCCCATTATATTCTTAGAAATAATGTTTTCTTTCCCGAGGATGGGGACTGCTGGGCAATTAATACAATGAAAGGTTCAGATTTGTATTGAAAAGAAAAAGCACCCAAAGACAGTAGGTGTACACATCACATGTGCAACAAAATGCAAAAATTTCCAAGAAGTCTCAAAACTTAAGCCACCGCCCATCCTTGCCTTTCTGATATGTAGTTAAGAGAGTTACCTCTGAGCTGGAGGTCCATCCATAATAATATTGATCCATAAAATCTGCATGGCATTGAGAGGATTAGGAAAGTTCATTAATGTAGCCAATGAGATTAAAGTTAATGCTGCTATACTCCTGTTAAAAAAGAGAGGCTAATATTAAAAAATCTGTCAGCATAATATTTACAAATTTTATACAAACTTTTCAGCAAGTTTATACTGTGCTTATAAAGGCCATATTTCTAATACTTCATTCATGTGAACATTCTAAAGCTGATTTCACTTTTGTTTTTGGTTTTTTTTTTGGTGTGGGGACCATACCTGGCAGTGCTCAGGGCTTACTCCTAGCTCTGCACTCAGAAATTACTCCTGGGGGTTCTCAGGTGACCATATGGGATGCAGGGACTTACAGCAGGTCAGCCACAGACAAGGCAAATGCCCCTACCCAGTGTATTATCGCTCTGGCCCCCTTATTTCACTTTTATGCTTCAAATATGTAAAGTATGTTAATAAGCATAATTTTTGGAGCAACACAAACAGAAGTGTATTTGAGCACCAAAATTTACAGACTTTAATGGCCAAACAGACATCATTATAATATAATATTTAGAACAAGCCACTTTTCTTGGTTTCAAGCCACCTTTATATTTCAGAATTTTCATTTTGTAAACTTTATACATAAATAACCCCACAAAAAGAGAGCTCAGCTGCTCTGGACATCATCTACGTTTCATAAAATTTATGTATAAAATACTGGTGACAAACTTCTAATGAACTTACGTGCTCAACTGGAATCTAACAAAATTTTTAATGTTATTATAAATTCCTTTACCCTCTTCAATTGCAGACCTAAAAAAAAAAATAAACACAATCACACAAAAATAATATACTGAAATACGGTGAACCTATTTTTGAAAACAATTTTACAACTGATGTAACTATCATGGAAAGAATCTGTTTTTCTTCACATTATTAAGTCTAGAAAAAAATACTAAAACATTCTAGTGCAAGGAGTTAAAAATCAAGAATGCGAAATTCTACCTTAACTACTTGTATTTTACATAATTTTTCATTCTTAAGATTTTTATTTTTTTGCCACAGCCGGTGATGCTCAGGGGTACCACCTGGCTCTTCACTCAGGAATTATTCCTGGAAATCCTTGAGGACCATAGAAGATACCGGAGATTGAACCTGGGCTGGCCACATGTAAGGCAAATGCCCTATTCATTGTTCTATGGCTCCAGCCCCTCTCTAAGATATTTCATTGAAATCACATATTGTCAGACAGGGTGCTTGCCTACCATGTGTCCCCAGTTGTAAAAAAAAAAATAGTCACATACTGTCTTCCTACACAAGAGGTATTGCCACCCACATATACCAAAATAATCATCTCACTATCCTGTTCCATGTTAATTTTTTTCTTTTCTGGACAGTGAATGTTTGGACCACACGTGGCAGTGCTCAGTGCATTGTGCTGGGTCTATACTCGGGTTGTGTGGTGCCAGGCATCAAATCTGGTTTGATCACATAAAGGCAAGCACCTTAACTTCTGTACTATCTCTATGGTCCCATACTAACAATGTTACTGTTTGTTAAAAATATTACATGCACACAATAGTATTGATGTATGTCAGGAATTAAATGGAAACAAGCTACTTAAGAATTATAAAATTTAAGCCATCATTCCTATACACAGTTATATATTATGAAGAATTATATTTAAAACATGGTTTATAGATTCATGTAAATTTTCTCTTACATTTGACTAAATCTAGAAAACTCTGTTTTTTAAGCACTTCCCCCTTTCTTCTAAGATTTTTATATCATTCTAAGAATAGAAAGGAAAAGTGTATATCCTTTCAAGAGACTGGCAGATGCTCCCTGTACTGTCTTCCTGTATCTCCAGGTGAAGTCACAATAGGTTAATAAAGTACCCTGTATCTCCAGGTGAAGTCACAATGGGTTAATAAAGTACCCTGTAGAATGTAATTAGCACACATAAGTGAACTGAGCAATATTCCAATCATCCAAACAGGTAGGCTTAAGAAAAAAAAAAAAACCCACAAGATTCAAGTGGCCTCTGCCCTCAAGATTGTAAAATTGATCCCATCAGTATTATTATAAACTATAATATGCAAGTAGGCTGAAAGAAGGTAAAAAGACCCTGTTTAGGCTTACTAAAGAGTTAAGCTTAATAGTCAGGCCGGAGCGATAGTACAGTGGGTAGGGAGTTTGCCTTGCATGCAGCCGACCGCAATTTGATCCCCGGCATCCCATATACTCCCCCAGCACTGCCAGGAGTGACTCCTGAGTGCAGAGCCAGAAATAACCCCTGTGCATCGCTGGTTATGACCTAAAAAGCAAAGCAAAAAATAAATAAATAAATAAATAAATAAAGCTTAATAAAGAGTCGCATTTAAGCTTAGTAAAGAGTCTCATGAAAAAGGGCAATATGAGCAACTACATATATAAGGAAACAAATTCAGGTCTAAAACTCATTATCTCTTTCTGGTTTGTTTTTGTTTAAGTCCACCCCCAGCAGTGTTCTGCCCTGTTTGATGATCTCTGGCTCTGCACTCAAGACATCACTTCTGGCGGGGCTTGTGCGTCCATATGGGGTACCAGGGATCACATTCGAATTGGCTGCATGCAAAACAAGTGTTTTTCCCACTGTACTGCCTCTCCAGCTCCAGTTAACTATTTCTTAAATGAACAGACCCATCATCTATTATTTTTTTCCCCATTCATGTAAATAACTTTCTATGGCAAAAAAAAAAAAATATCTAGTAAGACAGTTTAATTTATCCAATATTGAAATAATGTTAATTCTTTCCCATCTGAACTATCTGATAGGGGCAAAAATCTCTGAGGAGCATTCACTGAAAATATACTTACATGATGGTTTGAAAATCATCATCCACCAGGATCATGTCTGCTGCCTCTTTGCAAACATCTGTGCCAGCCTGGCCCATGGCAATTCCAATGTCTGCAGCCTTCAGAGCAACTGCGTCATTGACTCCATCTCCTGTCATGGCTACAACACACCCATTTTTCTGGAGAGACTAGAGTCAGCAAGGGAGATATTTTCATTAAAATAATGGATAAAGACATAGCATGTCCTGTTCATTTAAACCAACCTTAATTGTAAAATACCACCAATTTTCCAATAAAACTTCAATAAATGGAGGGCTAAAGTCAAAGTCATCTTACAAAACGCTGCTTTTAGTATTCCAAAGTATGAGAACCATTATGTCTAAAGGCCTATTTACAATCAATTAATAAGAAAGTGGTAAAGTGGTTCTCAGGGACAATTTTGTCTCCTAGTGGTCCTTCTTGCAATACCCAGAAACAAATCTGTTACAATCTGTGCAATGCCAATGGCATCAAAAGGAGTGTGTTTAGGGGTGCTGATAAATGCTTTACAATGCATGCCCATCCCTCAAGATGAAGAATTATCCAGCTCAAAACATCATTAACGTGGATGCTTAAATATTCTTAACTACACAATGATGGGCTAGTAAGTCTATTAACAATGAATACTATGTCAGTATTTCATATAAATTCAATAATCTAACTATGGTAATTGTACACACTGATTGCTATCCACAACTGGATTAAACTCACTATGGGCTCCTATCATAATATTCTTCAATACTGTTCAAAAGATTGTTCATAGATATTTCTTTTTTTTTTTCCTGCATCTTCTTATATTAACCAAAATCTTTGTATTAATGCCTTCACTGAATACTCCAAAAAAAAAAAAATCACTTCCATGCTTTATCAATATTCCCGGTAATAAAAATAAAGGTAATTAAAGATGGGCAGTAGCATATTGTCTATTGAGAGAAAAAAAAGTCTGCTTTTGGAAACTCACCTTAATGATTTTCATCTTGTGCCTCGGACTTGCTCTGTAAAATACTGCAACCTGTTAAAATACAGGATACACTAAAAACCTTAAATGCGAAGAATATTATAGCAACACATACACATAACAAAGAATAAAATTTTAGTTAAGTTGTATTTAATTTGCCACAAAGGTCAAGCTTGTACTATATGCCCAAATTTTCATTCTTTTGACTTAGACAAAATGCACCGCACAAAATACATAACCCAATGTATGCCATAATTTTTTTATTATTTATTTTATTATGGACCAGCGTATTTTGAATGTTTCCACCCTACCCCAAAGAAGGACCTAAACAATTTTCTTTGTATTGCTTGTTATGAATAATCTGCTAAAAATGATTCAAAAAAGTTTCCTTAGAGAAAAGCATGTGAAGATTGTTGTATCTCACCCTGGAAGCTCTCGTACAAGAGATTACCAATATATAAGATGTCTTTAAAATATTAAATAGTTTTATAGCTGAGGTTGTTTTTTTTTTTTTAACTGGATGGTGACTTTGGGGTCTGGAGGCATCTCTGCAGTATACTGGTCTGTGTTTCTCTCTTCCAAGAGTTTTATTTGTGTGACTCTGGATCCTGGCCGTTAATGAGTTTAGATGGTGCCAGGGGCAGTTCTTGAGAGCCTGACTGCCAGGCCTATGGAAGCACAGGGAGATGGGGGAAGGTTGCCCATTCCTGACTTGCAAGCCTGGAGATTTCAGTCACGGGTCCCGTGTACCTAGGTTTTTCAGTAGATTCACTAATGGGTGAGGCTCGTCTGAGCCTGTGGAGAGCGGCCATGAGCTTGGCGGTGACTGAGTTCTGGAGGTTTCCAGCTGCCATGGCTCAGTTGGGGTGGGAAGGGGTACTCACCCGCCCCATCCCCCAGGGTGTCCCGTGTGAGACAGCCTGGTGTGGGGTCTGGAGGCATCTCTATGATGTATCTTTCATCTATATAATTTTTAATGTTAAAGAAAAAGCTTTATTCTTAAAATATTTTGGAGACAGAGGAAGCAGCTGTTCTTGCATCTACTTCTTCATGACACAACTTAGATGTTTCTCCTCATTCTAGCCTCAAGAGGTGAAAAGAAAAACAACTGCTTCCAAAGAGCCATGGTGGCTTTTTAAAAAGAAATGTTTCAAGCATCTGCTCTCTTCTTCAAGAGGTTAATTCATCAGCCTGTCTTCCACTGTATCTCCAACTCTTCACAGCATCTTATCTCTACAAATCATTTTTGATCTCCTTGCTGATCCTCAGGTCTTCATAAACCCAAGCTAAACATCATCACAATCCCCTGCATCCTGTGTTCTTTCCACCAAACACAACCTTTTAAACAGTTCCCTAGGGGTGAGGCCTTCCACTTTCCATTCTTCATAGAAAAACTCTATCTTCCATGTCCTGTGAGCCTATACTTCCCAGCATTTACTGTTCCAGGCTATGCCCCCCCATCTTCTCCTGCCCTCACAAAACTCAAAGCTTCTGCCTCACTAGCATTCTCTTCACTGGTGAAATCAGTCTACAAACTCTTTTCCCTTCCCTACTCTCCCAAAGGATAACTTCATACTAGATTTTCCTTTTTCAATCTATCCTTTTCTGAAACCTGCCTCACCTGACAACCACCTTGTTTCCCATTTCAAAACAAGTGTGTGTGTGTGTGTGTGTGGGGGGGGGGGGGGGGGCGCACCAATCACCCCAACAGCCCTGGCAGCTGAAAACCTCCAGAACCCAACGGACACCATTCTCAAGGTCAATCTCCATAGGCTTGGGACGAGCTTCATCCATGAGTGAATCTGATGAAAAACTCAGGTATGCAGGTTTTGTGACTGAAACCAGGTGCTCATGGGAAAGGGCGACCTCATCCAATCTCCCATCTTCCGGAAGCCTGGAAGTCGGGCCCACAAACTGTCTCTGGTGCCATATAAGCTCATTAGGCCATGATCCAGAGACTCACAAATCTCAGAATAGATCAACAAGCTAAACAGATGCCTCCGGACCCCCAAATCACCATCATGATAAAAATTTGACTCCAGCTGAATCACCCTAGTTAAAATTTTGGAATTCTTGGAATGACATCCCATACTCTCACCACTGAGGTACTTGGAGTAGCCCACCACAATGGATGGTGAGTAAAGTAGAAGGCAACCAATCTCAATCGAAAAAAAAATTAGGACACAAGGCTCAACCTGTAACAACATGTTAGTAATCTCTTATACAAGGGCTTAATGGCTCCCAGGTGAGACACAACAATCTTCATACATTTTCTTCTAAAAATCTGTGATCATTTTTAGTGGATTATTCATAACAAGAAATACAAAATAAATTATTTAGGGCCTCCAATTAGGACAGGCTTGGGTAGAGGTTGGAAAAATTTGAAATAATGGTGGTGGGAAGGTGCAGTTGCGTTGAAATATTGAATACAATAAATTATTGGAAGCAACTTTATTTTAAAAAATTTTAAAAAGTGTAACTCCAACAGCGGCCAGGATCCAGAGATTATCACACTCAGCATTCGCGGCCGCGCGACATCTTATCATCTCATTCCTAATTCGGTCAAACTGGCAGGCTACCAAATGTAACATGCCCACACGGCAGAGTCTGGCAAACTCCCCGTGGTATACCCAATATGCCAAATACCAGTAACAATGATGGGTCTCATTCTCCTAACCCTGAAAAAGCCTTGAATATGGCACTTTAAAAAAAAAAAAAAAATCTCAGGGCTAGGACGAAGAAGACGTTACTGGCACCTGCTCGAGGCAATCAACGAACAACAGGGTGGTCGTGATCGTGATCGTGATCTGCCATAGAGGCAGAATGGGGATGGGGGTGGGGTGGAAGGAAGGAAATTGGGAACACTGGTGGTGGGAAATGTACACTGGTGAAGGGATGGGTGTTGGAACACTGTATGACTGAAACACAATCATGGACATCTTTGTAAGGGTTTTATCTCACAGTGATTTAATTAAAATCAGAAATAAAAACAAAAACAGTGCTTGCCCTGCATACAGCAGGCAGGCCCTCAGATTCATTGTCCCCTGAGCAGTGTCAGGATGACTCCTGAGAACATAGCCTGGAGCACATCCATAGCATTCTTAGGTGTGGTTCTAAAACAAACAAAACATATAAACAAACACACACATACACACCAAGAAACAAAACAAGGGTCAAGAATCAGTGCACATGCTTTGAATTCTGGAGGTCTGGGTTCATTCCCAGGCACCTTATGGTCTCTAAGCACTGAGCTGGGAATATGCCTGATACCACTGGAGAAGGGAGGGAGCGACACTCTCACACCTCCCACCTCCATTCAGAAAAGAATCTCCACAACATTTATCCCCCATATATTCAGGCACTATCCTTTCCTTTTACTTCAGAGGAACTGAACATGCTCCTAAGTATATCGCATAAATCACCTTAAGATGATTTGGCTAAAAGTTCACCCACACCCATCAATTTTTTACTCAATGCTGCAATCTTACCATCAAGATACAAATAAACTCATACTCTCTTGTTTAAAACAAAAATTAAACAGCCCTTTACAACTCAGTTGCCACCCTTCTCTTCCTCCTCTACTGTCTAACTCTATAGCTATCTCATCACTACAATGAACCCCCCATCCAAAGATCAAAGACACCCTGTCTTCTCCAGGCTTCCCAAACACAGTCCACTCTCCTGAGAGGCAGGTCTTCCTCATTCTCTGATGGCTCCTGTGCAGGTACATACAAGCCTTCCTCAAGTCTGCAGTTCCTAGACGTTCTCTTTAAGATGTCGAAGAGTCTCCTACTTCTTCCTAGTTGATCTCAATCAGTCTTCAGGGCTTCAATTTTATTTATGTATGCATTTCTATCTCTAGTCCCAGACATTCCTTTTGCTGAAATCCAGACTGATGAAACAAATCCATCTTCCTATCAACAATTCCTCTTGGACACCTCAATTCAGATTTAAATGTAAAATTTAATCATCATTAAATAAAGATGAGTTATTTTAATGCAAAGCCCTCATTATTTCCCTTAAAAGCTTTCCTTGGTATTCTATTAATGGCAAAGACACCCTTGCAAGTTGCTTAGGATCTAAAGTTCAAAGTTCTCCATGATTCCTGCTTTTCTAAAGTCACAAACACTCTGACAGAAAATCCTATTGGCACTATCCTCAAATATATACAGATATATTAGCAATGGGTTTAAATATCCCAAGCCAATACAGCTGACCCAACTTTCTTATCTACGCCCTAGTCTAAGACTTCTGAAACTTTTTCCACTCAAAACCCCCTTCTGCCAGAGAAATGTTTACATAATTCTTGGTATACAGGGATATGTATAAAGTATATATACAAATCAAACATTTACTCAACATAGTACCCTCAGTGAGGCCTTCCCTAATTATGTTTACCTACAAAGGTCAATACCCTCCTCACCGTTCTCACCACTTCCATTAACGTTCTTCCCTGCTTTCCCCAGTACTCTAGCAATTTGCTCATCTAACACATCACTGTTACTGTCCTCCTGTTGTTCATCAATTTTCTCAAGCGGGCCCAGTAACGTCTCCTTTGAGAGACTTTGTTGTTACTGTGTTTGACATATCGAATACGTCAGGGTAGCTTGCCAGGCTTTGCCGTGCGGGTGAGATACTCTCGGTAGCTTGCCAGGCTCTCCGAGAGGGGCGGAGGAATCGAACTTGGGTCGACCATGTTGGCTGCGTGCAAGGCAAACACCCTGCCCGCTGTGTTATCACTCCAGCCCAATCTAACACATACATTCCATTATCTTAAATTTTGCTCTAAATCTTCAATTTTCTTTGCACACCAAGTGAGTAATGACTGAACTGAAACCAGCATATGGTCTTTTCCTAGATATTCTTTCCAATTTTAACCCAAGTCTAAATAAAGCCAAAGGATTATTTTCCTAGGTGAAAGACTCAGTCCATTTTACCTGTAATGTTATTACATGACTGACTGACTACCTATAGATCTTCTGGGCAAAGCAATATTAAAAGATTAAGAGAGTATGCAAGAATTACAGGAAGTAAAAAATTTTAATGAATTAATA